AGGCAGGAGTTAGGATTTGATTTCATGCCTCCGTGACTTCATCCTATTGATAAAGTAGAAGGTGGGTTGTCTCCTGAGAGTTTGGTGGGGAGGGTGGATGGCGTTAGGTGAGGGTCTTTCTTGTAAGGACTGGTGACCCCTTTGAAACAATCATAAGAAGGATGGGGCAATTTGGTGAACAAAGGACAGGACTAAGGCCTCTCATGTGGCATTGAGAGTCCAGATGAAGCTGAATTTTTCTAAATGGCCCTTGGCCACCCAGTATGAACACAGAGAATGTCATTTGTGAGACAGATCTGGAAATGAGGTTCCTCAGCCATGCCACAAACAACAGTGCTAAGGAATCAACTGCACAGCTAGCAGAGTGGTCTAGGCTAGATGCTGAGGAGCAGCTGGTAGTCCAGGAAAACTTAGGGGATCAAAGAGCAGGTTTTGTGAGAACAATATAAGTGCTCTACTTCCCTACTTTCTTCTCACCTCTCTGGTGAGAGGCCTAAAAGCTTCTCCTTGCTACAGCAACTGCAATGGATAGAAAACCAAAATAAAACAGAGAGAGAAAAAGAGAAAGAGAAAACTCATTTTTTCCAAATTCCTTTGATGCTGTTCTTAAAAGACACAAATCATCTAGATCAGCCCCCAAAAGCCCTTTTAAATGCCAAGACTGAGAGCAAAATTATGGTTAAATGTTTAATTAATGTTTATGTTATAGCTAGCATGTTAGTTTTAGAAAGGTCAAATTTATGATACAATGAAATAATATTTTTCACATTCTGTGGGTCTAATTTATAGTACATTGGGGCCCACAGTATAATAAATATCTTCTATTATTCTGTAATATTCTTGTATGCAAAGCTGTGTAGGGCTCAGATAATATTGAATTTCAAGTCAAATGAGCTGGCGTGAACCTTAGGCAAGTCATTTCATCTTTTGGGACTTCAGCTTTCAGACTTGTAAAATGAAAGTGAGAGAAAAATCTCCAAGCTTCCTTTCAGGTTAAAAAAAAAATCATGAGCATAATTTAATATTTTAAATTACTATAGAATTGATAGGGTTACCCTTTTTCTGATATGATATATTTTTGATCCCAGCTATAATTTCTTGAGCTTCCGTCCTTATCAGGAATAAAAACTCCAATGATAATACCATCTCTAGGAGAAAATAGAACCCTTTTTACCACAGTTTACTTTATATTCTAAGTTCTCCATTCTCTGACCACATTAACTCCTTAGGGGCTTCATTTCCAAAAGTTCAGAGAGATTTGTTCATCATCTTATGACCATGAATCACTGAGGAGACACCATATTGTGATGCCTCCAGGAACCAAGCCCCTGATTTCAGTGCATAGACACTCTGAAGCAACTGCTGTGCGTCTTAACTTAGATAATATCAGAAAATGCCTACTAAGTGCCTATTAAAAGGCCTGAGATGTAGGGGGCACTCTGTAGAGTATGTGTGATATGTTGAACAGCAAATATGTGGGAAATCACTGAAACATAGCATTATTTTTGTCCCCCATTCAGATGTTTCTCCTGTCACTAGATGAAAACTAAGCAGAGCTCATGGTCATTCTTGGATTACAGAAGGTCCCACAGTCACTTTAAGTCACAAAATACTGTCCTGATTCAAAATTAAATGGTCTAGTTTCAAAATTAATGGATTCTTCCCTTTTTATTCAGAAGATGACATCTCCTTTCATTCCCTAGATGCTTAGACCATCAGAGGCAACAAGTGGGAGGGAAAAGGGAAGGAGAGGTAAAGGAGAGGACAGCAGAGTCTTCATTACACTGGTGACTGATGCTGTCCCCAGTAAACCTGGCAGGTAGTTAATGCTGACTCTTGCCTACCAGTTTTGTTGCCATGATTGTTAGCTGAGCTGTTCATGGAAAAATTTTCCTGCTGTGGGTCATACACATTTTATTCTGACTTCTCTTCCACCTATCAGGTTTCCATTATTGTTGTTTCTTCTCACTGGTTTGGTGTCCCCTCAGCTCTGGCAGGAGCCCTGTTAGACAGAAAAATCTCTGGCAGGATGCCTTTGAAAATGAACCCATGCCACTAGCCAATGATTTCATGACTAGGGCATATAAGAGATTGATAGATAACATTTCATTGAGATCTTCCAGTGTCTTATACTTAAGATGTAGAAAGCTGAAAAGAATTTCGCTCCCACATTAACCACAAGAAAAACTAAGTAGCCAACATCAAAACATTTTTGAACCCATCAGAGAGTGGAGGTCACATGGCAATAAAGCAGCTTGAGATTTAAAGAAAAACAAATGGCTCCAAAAAAGATAGGCAAAGTGAGAACAGGCTTACCTGAGGCAGAGCACCTGGGAAAGAACAGGCCACCACAGAGGTGGATAAGAAGACTGTAGCTATAATTCTGTAACTAGTTAAATTTTAACAATTTGCTGCTGTGGCCGAGAGTGAGAGTATAGAACCCATGGAAGCTACAGACACAAAGAGAATTTACACTCTCTCACAGGCTTTTCCCCACAAACTACATAGAATGCTCATATAAAGATTAGAGTCAGAATAGGGGTGAAGAGGAAGCCTCCTGTGGTAGTGTAGGTCTATGAGGGAGGCAAAAACACTGCTGGGGATGGGGAGAGATGAGGAACAGCAAAACCACCAGGGCACAAGCATAGACCCATTACAGCTAGGAGAAAAGGACAAGGCCAACATCAAAGGGGCATGAAGGATTTCTGAAGGGCGATGGAAGAGTTCCATATCGACTGTGATGGTGGTGACATGTCATGTCAAAACTCACAGAATTATACACTTAAAAGGGTGATTTTTCTGTAGGTAGCATAACTCAAAGACATTTAAAAATTTTTAAAAACCCATAATTTCATTAAAATTCAGAAGTTTTGTTCATCAAAAGACACCATTAGGAGAGTGATGAGAACTCACAGATTGGGAGAAAATAAAAGGAAATAGAACTTGCATACAGAATATATACAGAACATACAAATGAATAAAAAAAAGACAGACAACCCAATAGAAAAATGCGCAAAAAACTTGAGTGGACATTTCACAAAAGAAAATATCCAAATAGTTCATATGCACGTGAAAATCTGCTCAATATCTTTATTCTAAATGTGAATGGAAATTCTAATGAGGTACTACCACACACCCTCCAGATCAGCTAAATTTGTTTGGCAATATCAACAACGGTGACAATGTGAGCAACTGAAACTGGTTGCAAATTTCTATAAGCACATTGGAAAACTATTTGGCAGTACTTACTAAAGCTAAACATGTCTGAGCCTTATGATTCAGCAATTCTGCTCCCAAGTATTTATCCAATAGAAATGAGCACATACGTCCACCAGAAGACATACATAGAACGTATATAGAACCATTACCATAACAGCAAAAAACCTAGAAACAATATCCATTTGCATGAACAGGAGAACATATAAATGCAATGTGGTATATGTATACAATGAAATACTACCCAGCAATAAAGAAAAACAAATGATTGCAACATGCAACAAAGATGACACTCGCGGGTCTGATGAGCCAAAGTAGTACAAGGAACTATACACTGTAGGATTTGATTTATATTAAATTCATGAATAAACAAAACTAATTTGTGGTAATGAATTCAGAATAGTGGTTATGAGTAGGGTAGTAAACTGAGAAGAGGCATGAGGGAGCCTTCTGAGCTGCAGGAAATGTTCTATATCTTGATCTCAGTGATATTTCCATGGGGTAATATATATTTGTAAAACTTCAGTCAGTAGCATACTTAGGTTCTGTACACTTTACTGCGTGTATGTTTACCTCAATGCAATATGATGGAAAGAAAATAACACATACAGCATAGCTCGAGCGCTAATGATAATGCATGCAAAATGAATATAAACAGATTAGGAGTATATAGGACTTGTCATGGCTCTGACCCCTGTGTGCTTCTTATTAGCTGCAGATGGAGAAGAAATGTACCTTAGCTCTGTAGCCTATTGTAGATCAGACCTGATGCCGCTTCTATTCCATTTAAGTCCCAAAGTTATGCAATTTCAAAAGAAATATCTTTTAGTTTAAGAAATGCAGAGCAAGCATTTTTCTTCTAATCTTTTAAAAAAGAAATATTAGTTTTTATGTGCTATTAATTGCTATAGTATAACATCTACCACTTTATTCTTTTCTATCAAGAGAATAAAATTTCTTGTTGTGCCCTCATCGTCCTACCACATCATTTATCAATCAACCGAGATCCATGCACTTTACTGTATGCATGCTATACCTCAGTACAATTTGTTTTTAATGGCTCTGCCAACACTCCCAGGGAGGTCCTGCCCACATGGGGCCTCCAGGACACATGCACCACGACCAGTCTGGGGAATGCAGTTACTCCCAATGCAGCTGCCACTCTTATTTTCAATTCTGAACCTGAGACAGCTCCTCTGTATTTCCCTGTGAACATCAGACACCAGTCCTCATGCCTCCAACTACAGAGTTACTCACGAAATTCTCCAAGCCATGCTAGAGGTCCCTCATTGGGTCTGCAAAGAAAGAAACTCCATCTCCTTCCCTTTTCACTTTGTTGAGGACTCACACACAAACTCTCCCAACAGAGCTCTTCATAGATCCTCTCTCCTCGTAATTTGACCTTTTTTTTTAACATCTTTAATGTGAAGGACAGGGCTAAGAGCCTTTGAACCAGAATCAGACATTTACTTTACAATTACACTCTGCATTTTTGTCAGCACCTCATGCTGGTGTGCAGCAATGATGGTTGGTGTTGGGTATCTCTCAATCAAGACTTCAATATTAACCTCCTGTTATAACTTCAGGTCGAACTACATAAAATTGTTGATTGTTGAGTATTTTGACCTAAAAGATTTGCAATTTCATATGGTTCAAACTAACAATTTTATTCAAAATAGGCTTTTTAGAGAAACTGAACTTTAGGTTGGGTTTGAACAAAAAGTTAGAGTGGATTCTTAAATGAATACCCAGGCAAATACTGAAACACCTGCAAAGCATCTGACCTTGGCTTTCAGATCAGCACACAATTCCTGTTGCTTTTTCCTGTCCTTAGCCAATGTGCTCTCCATTTCATGAGTTGCGCAGGCCTCAGCGAGTGTCAGCACAGCCTTCTGTATAAAATCTCTCCTATTCTTATTCCAATTTGCTATCAAGATCCTTCGCTGCTTCCTAGCAAAGTGATATTGGTCACAATATTTCTCATGTTCAACCTGAAAAGTTAACAGATGGTTATTATTAGACTTTTTATGAAAATGAGTCTATGCTTTATGTCATTGTTACAAAAATGAATAACAAATGATTCTGAAAAATGGAGGACAAATATCTTAATAGTAAATGCAGCAACCAGGACCAGGTATCGGACCCAGAGTTCTGAGCCTGTGGCTGACTGGGGACTGAGGACCAGTCATTTAACATTCAAAAGTCCTTAGTTTCCTTGCGTAAGATGGAGTCAGACCAGATGGCCCTAAAACAACTTCCACTTCTATGTGACAATGAATCTATGAGCAGAAAGCATTATTTCCCACATATTTAATTTCAAAAATACTCCATCTTTAAATCAGTTTTGGTATTTTAACAATCAGTTCAAGTGCTTCTGTTAGACATGTGCTAATAAACATAAAAAAAATTGTTAACAATAATCCTGAAAACTCAGTTTGCCCTTGATTATTGAAACATTCAGATGTTATAATGTATAAACTTGAAGTAATTATAGCAATGATATTAGCCCTTCCCGTCCCACACTCCTGAGGGACATGACACTCTCACATTGGTGCCAGTGGTTCCTGTTGGCAATGAATCGCAACCAGGGGAGATATCAGTCTTGAGGGGAAGAACAGGAATGGAGATACTGTGAGTATTTGGAAAAATCTCTGTAGGTGATTCTGAAATGCTCATTATATAAAGGCGTGTCTCCTGAACTTGAGAGTCGCTGATCTAAATAATTCTTTATTTGCCAATATAGACAATGTCTCTGATTTGATACATTATTTAACCCTTAAGAGGTATAAGATAAGAAGCTAGCAAGAGGGATTAGGTTGGTCCTAACCCAGAGATAATTTAGGTATGGTAAATGAGGTACATGATGAAATAGGCTATGGCTTCACTTAAACCAAACATCGGCTACTAAAATCTGTTCTGTAAACTTCTTAGCTTTATTCTTAAAAGCCAAAAAAATACTTTAAACCTGTCAAACCTTAAGAAAGGAAGCATACGCCATGAAGAACTGCATACTAATCAACCCAGTGTAAGAAATGTAAAAATCTTTATTATGTAAATAGCAGGCAAATACAAAAGTCTACAAAGTTAAAAATGACAGCTCATTACAGAAGCAACTAGATTCAAGAGAGAATAAAAAGAAAGATCTAATTTAATAAATTAAGACTTTAAAAACTCCAGAAAGAATGATTTATTATATAACATGTTTTTATATAGCAGGTATCTGCTATAAAATAAAGGTCAGAATTAAAACAAATAATTATTAGGTGGGGGTGAGGGAGAAAGGATAGGAGAGGATGGTCATATTAGTTATATGGTCTTTGCTTCAGTTTCTTCATCTGAAAATAAATATAACAATACATCTTCCCTTGTCTACTGTTATGCGTGTTACAGGAGTTTACACATGACTGACAGGTAAATTCTATACACATGTTAATATTGTTGCAACTTAATTTAAAACAATTACAAAAATGCATATTATGTGATAATATTTTATAGCATGGCCCATTGAAAAGTTAAGACTCTATGTATGTTTGTTTACATATATGTTTTAAGGTGAGTTATTACGAAATTAATCGGTGACATGGTAACTTCTATTTTCTTGTTTTGTCAACTTAAGAATGAAACAGTAACTTTCCAGACCCTTCTCAGGGAAATTTTAGTCATGGCTGAGTTCTGAATTTGAGACGTTTGTGCTTCAGACCCATCTGGAGGGATCAAGAGGAGTTGTGGAGGGGATGGTATAGGTAAGCACCAGCCCCCAAGGCAAGTGTTGGCTTCCCCATGGCTAGAAGGACTGAGGTGTGGCAACTGTGTGGATGAAAGAGCTGGCACCCACTTTCAGGTGACACCCAGGGTGGGTGGGTGAATATACAGACACCTGGAGGTCAAACACTGGCAGAGCGACCTGGGTGCCACAGTGGAATCTCAGGGGCAAGTAAAAGCATTGGAGTAAATGTTGTCAGAGGGGTCTTCCAACATTCTACGGACCATACAGACTTGAAAAATGTCAGCCTTTCAACCTGCAACCCTATTATTTTCTAGAGTATAGGAAAAAATAATTTTTAGAATACTATTTAAAATACATATTTTTGCTTAATAATTATTGACCACTAAAACAATTTAACTCACCAGTATATAAGGTCTAGCACTCACCAAATCATGCCTAGATTTGTGAGGAAAATATCTTTGTAACATGTCCAGATACAGAGTCCTTCTGCCACATAGATCTCCAGGATACTGATCCAAAACAGCCTGGTAAACCCAGTGGTCTTCTTCACTTAACTGAAAGTTTCTGGAAGCAACAAAAATGTCACCATATTTTTAACAATTATGGAGTTTGAGGAACCTCAAACTGTTCGAGCTATTAGCAAATGATAATGATTACATAAAATGAGATGTTTTTTTTTTTAAATACATAAGCCAAATTAAATATCTGCTATAGAAAAGTTTCTAAATTCTAATATAATTGGTTCTTTCGATCTTTTATTTGGTCTTGCCACGAGTTCCAGGCATAATTTGAAAAAATTTGGCAATCAGACATATTTTTTAAATATTTATTCTACCTTGTTATATTATTTTAAAAATCATGAGCAAGAAATGAAATTTTAAAATATTGGGAAATAAGTTATTATTAAACATACAGTTTTAAAAGGAATTTTACTTATTTGACAAAAGTTCTTATTTCTAGACTGGAGGAAAATACAAATGTAGACAGTTAAATGAAACATTACACAAAGGAAATTAAGGCCTGAGGAAGGAGTTTTGTTTAAGGTTTGATTTAAAAACAAGTCTAAAATCATCTTTTACTTCTCAACTTCTTCCTTTGTGGGGGTAAGACTAGATATTGGTAGTGAAAAGATAACCAATGACATTAAATTTCAGATCACTGAAGAAATTGTTTGTTAATAGGATCACTTCAAGTCACCTTACCAATAACATGTCCACTGTGCTCGAAAATGCCCTTTTCACTTCAGAAAATTCTTAGGCACTGACCTGGTTTGTGTTCTATGTAAAGTACAGTTGACCCTTGAACAACACGGGATGGGTGGGCTCTGACCTTCACTCAGTCGAAAATTCGTGTATAACTCTTGACTTTATAGTCAACCTTTCACATGGGCAGATTCACCCAAACCAGAATTCAAAACAGTATTTTTGATCTGGAGGTTGGGAACCTGTGGTTAGAAAATTGCAAGTGGGAATGCGAAAATACTGTTTCGGCATGTGGTTGGTTGAATCCATATGTGAAATCCACAGATTCAAAGGGCTGACTGTATTTACTGAAAGAAAATCCTCATATAAGCGGACCTATGCAGCTCAAATCTGTGTTGTTTCAAGGGTCAATTGTACTAGCAAAGCCCTATGCAGAGTGAAAAGGCTGCAATATCAGCTTGAACTCTAAAATGAATTAATGTCTCTTTATTATTCCAAGTTTATTTGCATATTGTTATTCCTGTCTAATAAATTAGAATAATCAAATACAGATGCAATCAGAGGGAATATTATTAGCAACAAATATTTCCTTGATCCAAGATGAAGATTTGCTATTGTTTATTTCTACTATATCAGTGGTCTTCTACTTTAAAGTTAACTGTGCAATCCAAAGGATTTTTCATAATATGTCTTCCATGCCCTTGAAAAATACTTGACAATTTAAAACAATAAAAATCTACTTAAGTCAGTGATAGTAAGGGGAATTTCACTGTCTTTATGCAAGTTTATCTAGTTCCTGTAAAGCATTTCATTATTCTGGTAAGCAGCAAGAAAGAAAAAAATTCTTTTTCAAAGGTAATCTTCCCTTATCAGTTCCATAATGAGAAGAAAAAGAGGGTTGGATATGTTTCACCAGGAAGCAGCATACTCTATAGTTCCTCAACATGACATAATCTATTTCAGAGAAAGAATTTGAGATGAGTTCATTCATTGACCACCTTGAATGTTTTGTTCTGACTAAATCAGTTAGGCATGGTATAGAGAGTCAAAGCCTTTTGCAAATAAAGCATTTCAAATAGGGGTATTAAGCTTGGAGAAAGGCTTGTCTGAGTGTACTCGGCATTTAAAACACCCTCAAGACTTCAAGGACAATATCTCAGGTCCTCTCTCAAGGAACTCATTTTCATTTATGATTACATAAATGCATTTTAATAGCAGCTTGCCACATAAATTCTCTATTACTAAACCACAAGCAACAGCAACAACAAAATAATCTTAAAGTCCATGTCTCCATTAATGCTCTTAAACTGTTTCTGTAATCAAAGGGACTTGAACATGGTTTGAATTTCCACCTTTCTGATTACAAATGTGTGTGTGTGTGTTGGGGAAGAAGAAGTGACAGACTCTAAATCCAGTAAGTTTTCTGTTCTTGTAAATTGTCATTCAATTATGTAATAGATAATGTCGATGCCATGACAGATCACCTTTATTAGCTAGAATTCCTATCAGACGCATCTCCCTTCTCTAGAGAATTGACCTGAGCCAAGTGGGAACTGCCTTACACAGGGAGGCCACTCACCCACTTGCTTTCAAGTGCCAGCCACAACCAGTGATTGACTGACATGGGGATACAGAAGACCATCCCAATTGCCTCAAGATGGGACCAACTCTGTGGTTCCAGTCATGCTCTAGAGTTTCACTGTGGGAACAAACTGCAGCTCGTTCTCACTGAGATCTTCCTGCAGACATTTCTCCTCCTCTATCCTGCTTACTTTACCCCACTTCTCCTGAGAGCACTGACAAACAAATCATTTGTTCTTATAATTCCTGTCTCAGCTTTGCTTCTACCAAACCTGACCTAAGATGATCAACAAGCAATCTTACCTATAATTTTCAAAAATAGATGGTAGATGGATAGGTACTTCTAAGCTAATTGCTTTGATGATCTCTCATATTGAATGATGGTGCAAGGTTTTTTCAAAGAGGAAGCGCAAATAGCAAACATCGACAAAAATATTTTTCAAATAAAAGCATTAAGCAGTGTACATTGCTATAAATAAATATAGCAGCAGGAGAATTAGTGGCACTCAGTGCATTTTTATACATTGCATGAATGTATTAATTATGTCCCATTTTAATGACATTAAAATGACTTAAACATATAAAATGATAATATAACATTAAAACCAAATATTCCAAACAAAATATGTCATGAACAATGATCACATCCATCTTGTTCTTTATTAATTTTAGAAATCTCTCATCTCAATAGTTTTTTTCCAATTACCACAATTATACAAATTGCAAGTCATTTTTCTAGTATACATGGAATAAAAATGAAAAACATCTTAAAGAAATATAGAAATACTCACAATATTATTATTTTTAGAGTATTTATAGCAGTTTTCACAGCCACAGGCTTAAATCTTAAAGCAAATATTCACATCAGCAATACTAATGGCACAGTCATACATCTCCATTAGGATGCTGTTTGTGAGGCAGAAAACTCCCACCTCTCTCTATGTATACATGGTCTTCTGGATGGTATAAATCTAAGAGGAATATTCAAACATAATAGCCTCTTCACAATAACAAAGTAGTCATTTCCTACTTAGCCTCTAAAATAAAATCAAATTAAAATAAAGTTTTAAAATAAAATATGCATTTCTAAATTCAAATCTGGATGTTTATTTTTCCTAATCAAACCTTCATCTGTCAATTTACAGAAAAATCTACATAAAATAGCTTAGCTTTATAAAATAACTAGCTTAGCTTTTACCTTCTGAATTTCTTGTTTAATTTAACTGTTTTGCTGGTGACTATGATGTCAGAACGAGCTAATTCACTCAGGCATTGAAAAATAATTGGATCACTTATCTACTTTCTAAATTTGACAAAAAATGACTATAATTTTTTTAAAAAATTAAAGAATATTTTAAAATTATTCTAAACTTTTGTAATTTTTAAACTATATTTAGACAAAAGACCTTTGGCAGGTCTCTGTTATTCCTATTCTTTTTGTCCATCCAAATTTTCTAATTTAAATTATTTTGTAATTTTCATCTTTAAAATAGCACTCTAAGATTTTATAGTTTCCAGGTTAATTGGGCACTTCTTACAGTTCAGGGAATTTTAGCCTGCAGAAGTATGATATATTCACCATGCAATTCCCACACACCATACCTGGCTCCCAAATATTGAATTCCGCTGATATAATTTCAACAGAATGTGAGACAAAACAGGCAATTTAAAAAAGAAGGACAACAGGGCTGTGAGAATTCAACCAGATCAAGGCTGATTGTCTCCCTATTTATACCTGTTTGAATTATCCCCGAAACTGAATCACAATAACTTAGCTACTGGTTTTCTTTGTAGTCATGTTTAAACCACTTCCCTGAGGTCTGGTTCCATGACATCAAAACACATTTGGGAGGGAGGGGCAGACAATGGTGGTAAAGGGTAACAGGTACATTAACGACAAAAACAAGTCTATGAAACTAAACATGGTGTTTACAAACTGGCTGAAAGTTGTTTTACGTTATCTCGGAGTAAAGGGAGTTTTACAACAAAAATAGTAATTACTGTCTCCTGAAAGCCAGGTGATGCAATTTTCAGCATCTGGCAACTGCCTTGAGATTGGAAAATGACCGTAGTGAATCTAGCCTGAAGAAAAATTCTTATCTTTCCAGGTGTAACATTGTCAGGGGACATCTAGTGCTCCTCCACTGAGAAGCATGATTGCAGTGAGCCACTGGTGGATTAATGTGGGTAAAAAATAGCTCTGACACTATCTGCTTGTTTGTCTGTACTAGGTCTGACCCTGTAGAAAATATAACTTGACTTCACTTTCAACATTGTCTTTCCAAATCCAACCTGTTCAAACACCAAATCTAATCAGCCTGGTTCCTGAAACTGTTTTTCTACTACCCACCACTCCACCACCTCAGGACCAATGTCCAAATACAAATCTATCTTGAATTTTCAGCCTGGTTTACAGGGATCTCCCTGGCCTCAGATGCATTTCTGACCAAGAAAATCTGCTCTTGGGCTTTGTTAGGGTATGTACATTACCTTCTAATGGGATCCATTCCCATTTAGCATTGTTTTACCTCCAGGGTCCCGAGCTCTGCCCTGTCTGGCTACACATTTGGGAGTTGAAAGGCAGAATAAAGTGGGATCTCAATAGTATGGTCAAAATTTACTGAATTGAAGAATCAATGACAACAACAAAAGTGGACCATAGGGTGAAACTAGAACTTACACCAGCATCCCAAAACCATATTGTTCTGAGGGGTGACAGGAAAGTGGAAATGTCAGCCTTCTAAAAACGATGGCTTCAGAATTTCTTATCATCGAAGAGAA